GATGTAACACTCTCAGTTTCCACTTTTTAAGCAGGAAATTAGGAATTAGGAGTACCCGTTCAGAGAGTGCCAGAAATTTTGTGTTTCCATTCAGACTTTGTTCATTTTAGGACGGAGTCGAAAATATTAATCGTTTAAGGGAACTTTTAGTGGATTTAAATGAAATAACAGTCATTTATATGTTACGGTTGATAATAAGGAATGATTTGTTGAGAATATTGAAACAGCATACAACAGGAATCAATGAAACAGTTTTGTTAACATAAATATAATCGGAATTGGTGCCGGGACGATTCCTAAGGCTCTATGTTTCCTGGCTCTGTATAGCAGGCTCAGACCGGGGCTTAATTTTAAGCTCAGACTTAGGGCTAACGCAAGACGTTCGAAAAATGCTCACAGCTTTTAAAAAATTGTTGCTGAGTCACTCAATTGACCAATCGAAAATTATAGAATGATGATCTTGATGAATTAGCACGGTTGAATGAGAAACTTTTGGAACGATCGCGTGCGAGACGTGCTGATTTCAAACTGGTTGATTCAGAAATTATAAAAACAATGCCAGAGCCGCTGCCATCTAGTCTGAAGGTTTGATCTTAATCCGCTTCTTATTTGATTTTAACACGTTTTGTTTCGTTCTCTTTTGCACTCTCTTCATGTGTGCTCAACCGTATTCATCAAATTGCACAGAATATCGAATTTTTTGTTCAAAAGAGACTTAATTGACCTTAGTGGGTGCGGCGAAGATACCAGATCAGCTGCACACCGTTTCGAGAGGCCTGGTAACGCTGATCATGAATATTTCTTCATTGCGTGCTGAACGCCGTTTGGCGCTGATTGTGAGTTACAAATTTGAATTAGTGCAGTGATAATCTTGAAAATATTTTGCAACTGAGTTGGAGCAATGGATCAAGATGTTCTGTAGAAAACTATGAAAGTGAAGGTGGGCAGTTCTATTATCCTAGGCCATTGTGTTGCTCATTATTGCAATTGATTATGATTGCATGAAAGTTATTGTCTCTGACACGCTTACTCATTCACAATCAGATGGATTTTCATTCTTTTCAGACGTGTTGTATTCACTCTCATAGCTATTACATGCGAATAGCGTTCTCTTCATCACTTTTTCTCATTCACTTCGTCGCATTTCACTTCATAGTTCGAATCAATTTCTTATTCTGTAGCATATACTGTTTTATGGATACGTTGACGAGTGTTGACAGCAGAAATCAACAATACAGCAATCGAATATTATTGCTCAACAACGTTCGACAGTCAAATGAACAATTATAGAGTACATTTGATAGAATGAGAATTTGACTTTAATTGTTGAGTGAAATGAATGAGAAATTAGCAGA